CTCGACGCCACCATAACGAGGTGTTTTGGTCGAGGCCTTCTGTCTGGAGCATTTCTGCCGCAAATAAACGTTTCGGGAAGAAAACAAAATTAACCGTATCTCTTGAGAGATAGATTTTTGTTTTTGGACGACAATCGTGTCCGCAAGTCTTCCGCGCATGCAAGTCGCAGTTTTTCTTCTCCGATTTTGGGATTCGATTTGCACCCCCCTGCGCACGTGGAGAGAGCCTTTACCCTTAGGAATCTTAACTCCTTAAGGGGGGAGTCCCTTTATAAAGGGTTGCAAATCCCTTGGATTTTCCGGTGTGGGAAGTAACACACTAGAAACCCATCCTTTTTCCCAGTTTTTCCATTCTAACGGGTAAACTTCGAGAATCAATTTCTCATTCACCCGTTATCCGTTTTGTGCGTACCATATATCGAATTGTAGCCCTAAACAAGGACAATCCGAAAACCACTTTGACCCGACCCAAATCGGAAGTGGACCCCACTCAAAAAATTGCCCCAAAATTATCATTTAATGCAATTTGAACACATTTTTCCAACATATAATATTGCATATGTAAGTTTAAAAAAAAATCGGAAGTTTTAACTGTTGGAGTTTTTATGCCAAAATAATACGGAATACAAATTTTTAATTCATGGTGCCTCCACGAATAACTAAACTTTACATAAACTCATTTCATTTTTTATTAACACCGATTTTTTTTTGAAGTTATAACTTTTCAACATCGAAATGTGTATTTTTTTTAATTTCATAATTATTTATAAAAACAATCAAAGAAAAACATTATTCTCAATTATTTAATTAATACGTAGTATTTTACTGATTGATATGTAAAAAATATGTAGAGTGTATTTTTTTTTACAGTACTAAAATGCAGTGAAAACGGTATTGACGAAGTATATGTACACTGTTTTCATACAAAGCTCATATATTTAAGTTTTTATACCGTGTAGAAATGAGTCTTTAATACTGTTTGTCATTCCTAAGAAATTGTTACGTATCACCCTCCCACCACTTATATTCTTCACTTTTGTAAAGCTCCAATAATTGGTTTGCTTGCCTCTTTGATATCATATTGAGATTCAATTATCAAGATTCAAGAAAGTATTGAAGAAGATGAATTGATTTGTGTAGAACTCAAACTTAAAAGAGAACTGATCGAAGGAAGCAGTATGCTTTTCAATAATAAGAAAAATGAATTACTAACTATTACAATTATGGCGCTTTCGCAACCCTCAAGCTGTGCTAGGGATTTTCTAAAGCGCCGCGATGAAGGAGCCCTAAAGGGGATACTATGGGAGGCGCCGCTTCTTTAGATCGATAGATTGATTCAAGGAGTGGTGGCATTTCGTCGACTTTGGTTTCGATCTTCTCAGACTACATGTTTCGTCGTTTTTTGTTCTGCTTTGTTTCTTGCTTCTTGTCGATCTTGGTTGTTGTAATGTTGTCTACCGGTTGTCCGGCTGGTTCTTATAATCCGGATCTACCGGTGAGCGACCCGGCCGAGCGACTGGGTCACGGGTCAACCCGGTCAACAACCGTTAGACCCGGTCAACAATTATACATATAATTAATTATATAAAGATTAAATTCATAATTAGAAAATTTGTTTTTCTTCATAAATTAATAATGATAATACAATATAAACAAGGTAAGAAAATTATTGTATTTAAGTATATTGATTTTAACTAAATATAAAATACATTGTGATTTAGATGGGTAATAGATATAACAAAATAAAATAAAAAATAAAATATGATACAACAAAGTTGGAAGATTATATACGAGAAGTATAATAGCAGTATCGGTGTGTATTTATTAGTATTTATATTATGAATTAATTAAATAATAAAATTGCTTAATTAAGATTTTCTAGGATTAAATTACGCGGTCGTCTCCTAGGTTTTCGTAGGGAGTTTTTCCGGCACCGTCCATGGTGGCGGTAGTGTCCGGTTGTTCTTCTCTCGATTGTTCGAGGGTTCTATCAAGGAAGAAACATGAGTATTATGAGCTGGAATTGTCGGGGTCTAGGAAACCTAGCCACGACTCAGTGTGTTACACAGACGATGTTCTCGATCGCGGCTTGGTCTCGACTGGGACTCAGGCGAATGCACGGAGCAAGATTGAAGGCCAAAGATCGTTCATGGTGGAGATCAAAAGGTCATGGACGAAGTGTGGGGCTAGGGGCTGGATCAGATCTGGATCAGAGGCACGGAGCGGAAGATGATTCAGTATTGTTGAACCGTCCCCCTCCTGAGCCGCCGCCATGGAGTGCAGGAGAGTCTAGGGTTTGGAGGCAGTATTTTAATTTTATTATTTGCTTGCTTTTTAATTTCCATGGTCAGACCGTTCTGTTTTACTTTTATTGTTTCCTTTCCTGTAAGACTCTTGCATTAAGGTGGGGGGAGAAAGAATCTGCGGTAACCGTCATTAGCTCTAAATTGCCCAAATTTGGTCTAGCGAGTTATACTGCTTTTTTACAGGTGGTTAGCTCTCAGTCTCGGCCACAGGCGGATGGTTATTTGTGGTTTTTTTCTTGTTCTGTACTCTTGCTGAATGCTATTTTTATGAATTAAGTCTTCATCGAGCAAAAAAAGATTTTCCAGGATTATAAGGTATAAGTACCTCTAATAGACCGATATAAACAACGAGCTGCTGTAGCACAATGGTAAGAAGACTTGGGTTCTAAGCGGCTGGTGTAAGTTCGAATCCCATTGGGGTTGTATTTCCCGGGTTTTTAGTGATTTTCCGGGTTTTTAGCGATTTTCCGGGTTTGGGCCAAGTCGCGGCTGTCACGGGTTATGCCGGGTCTACGGTTTATCTAATTAAAGAAAAAGTGATTTGGATCCTTAATTAACCAATTTGTTTATCTAATTTTTGTTTAGCGAATCAAAATCAAAATATGAGAACTTCCTTAGAGATTTTGAACACAAGAAGAGTTTATTGTCTTCTCCAAAGTTCTCCATTTCTCCGTTAATTTGAGCCCTTAATGTTGTTCAACATCAATCAGATGTTTAAACAAGAGACAAAAGTGGATTCATAGGTGTCTCTTGCTCTCTGTTCACCTTCGAATTGAATGTCACAACTGTGTTAGAGATTCTAGGTGCACGAGGATTTTCTCTAGCTGCTAAAGCAGGGCCAAGAGCCTGACTAGAGGAAAACCAGTGGTTTAACTGTGGTGGGAGTATCCGGATGGATTAACCTGTTGGTAAGTTTAAAAGTGATGGGGATTTACCGGCTGGATAGGTATACAGTGCCCGCAGCGGACTATTTAAAGAAAAGTGGGCGTTTGGTAGGATGTAATAGGCCCGGACCCGGTTCGGTTCCTATGCAAAATATGTGAAACCATTTGAAAATATGAAATTTTACAAACGGTCCGGTTCTTATAAATTATTTTATAGAACCGATAAGGAACCGAACCATTCTTAACGATTCGGTTCTTGTCATTTAACGGTTCCTAGTCTTTAAAAAATTCTTACAAATCACGGTTAAATTTGTGGCAAAAAGACATTCAACGTTTGAAATTACAATACAAATATGTTGAACATCATTTCAAACCTCAAAAGTTGAGTTTAAAACATAAATACATAACAAACCGCAAATTTTAGTAAATAAAACAAAACAAGATATTCGCTAAAGAAGTCCAAGAGAACCGGTTAAAATAAAAAATAGTTTTAATTAGTTAAATAACTAAACTAAAATAGTGAATGTAATATAAAAATAGATAAGTAAATACACATTAAAATATATATACTAATAAGAAATATATATAATTTTAGTTATTATATATAACGGTTCCTTAATGGTTCCATGTACATACTTTTTTTAGGAACCGAGAACCGAACCGTTAATAAAAATAGGAACCGAATCATTCACAAATAACTAATACATTTTGGAACCGAACCGAACCGGGTAATAACGGTTCGGTCCGGTTCGGTTCTCCGGTTCTTGGTTCCAAAGTCCCAGCCGTAGGATGTAAAATAATTACTTTGCATGCGAAGTGTAAGGACGTAAAATGTTTACATTGTTTGGTTTGATGATTTAATGTAAAGTGTAAGACACTTTTTAAAACATTTCGCACTGTATCATGTAAAGTATTTTACGTGGGGGGAGGGTGGTAAAATACTTTGAATGCCTTTTATGAAGCAACGACTTTGCGTGCAATTTAATAGTAAATTACACATCTAGCCAAACAATGTATCTAGTTTACATGTAAAATGATTGATTCCCTATACTTTGCATGCAATCACTTCGCGTGCAAAGATTTAACGTGTAAACTACCAAACGAGCCCAAAGAGTAGTCAAAGTTGGGACTAATAATCCATAATATCGATTATTAAATGCGGACCGCGAATAGTTCGGATTAATAATGTCAATTTTCCTATAAATTAAGTACTCCGTGATATTTTGCCAAAAAACTATTAAGGGTTTAGTACTATCTATACATACTGTCTATTAATAGAAAAGGTAAGAGTTAGATTGGTACTCGAAGTTGAATAAAAAGTGTCAAATAAGTCCTTACTGTCCGGCCTCTGCCATTTGAGGCGGTTCCCGGTGTAATTTTTTGATGAATTTTTTTGAGCATCTTATTCATTAAGTCTAGTTTACTCATACCAAATTTCAGCTAAAACTTCAATCGGGAAGACATTCAAATGAATTCTTGAAGATAACCACGCTTTTAACTTCGCAGTTATCTTCAAGAATTCACTTGAATGCGTTCCTGGTTGAATTTTTAGCTGAAGTTTAGCATGAGTAAACTAGACTTAATGAATAAGATTCTCAAAAAAATTCGTCAAAAAATTCCACCGGGAACCGTCCCATATGGTGACAGCTGGACAAAGCCTCCTATATAAGAACTTATTTGACCCTTTTTATGCAACTTCAACTACCAATCTGACCCTTAACTCCATTAATAGAAGGTTACTAAAATAACCACATGAGATACAATATTTATACTAAGGCCCTATAAATCAGAAATACTTTCAATAGAGTAGGCCCTATAAATCAGAAATACTTGTTCTTGACAAAATTTTGAACCCTTCTATTACTATTACTGATTGATTTCTTGTGTGTGGGAATTTCAGTATAGACTCTCACTCGCAGCGTTTTTAAGAGATCATTAATTCGTGAGTGTAATTCATTTCCCTTAGAAAAATTCCCAAACAAGCTGTAACTACCACCTAACCCAGAAGAAGATGGCAATCACCTCGTCAGCTGCTCAGAAGCTCCTAAGCGTTGGCACTAAGATAGTCGCCGTTGGCCGTAACTATGCCGCTCACGCCAAAGAGCTCGGCAACGCCCTCCCTAAGGTTTGCCTGTGTTGATCTATCTACACTATTGCTACATATATAGGTGCGTGCGTGTTGATTTTGTGGGTTTTCTATTTATCACTATTAACTGCTGGCGTATATGATGGGGTAGGAGCCGGTGCTGTTTTTGAAGCCGACATCTTCGTATTTGGAAAATGGAGGCACGATCGAGGTGCCGCATCCATTGGAGTCGCTGCATCATGAGGTGGAGCTGGCGGTGCTGATCGGAAAAAGAGCTAGGGATGTACCCGAGGCCACTGCTATGGAGTATGTCGGAGGTAATGCTATTAAGAAATGTTAAACTCTGAACCTATGTAGCAGTAGCACGGAACAAAGGAGATCTTATTTAGCTCCTTAAGCCTTTATTTGGTACTAATGAGAAGTATAGAGGGGAAGTAAAATGAGAGGAAAATAGAGGTGGTTAAAAGAGAACATAGAGAGTATCATATTTGGCTTCATGAACAAGCTGGGATGGATTATTATTTAAGAAACATGAGTACAACTATTATACCCCGCGTATGTGATATGATTTTTAATTAAAACTATCTCAGTTTGTATAATTATACTCCCTCCATCCCTTATAAATTTGTTTTTTACTTTTATGGATGTCCCAATAACTTTGCTACTTTCTGTTTTAATCAATGAATTTGTGGGTTGTTCATATTATTTTTCTCTCCTCTACACAAATCTCAACCATACTGTTTTACTTTATTATTTCCCATGTCAGCCAGACAAAGTTTTGAGGGACGGAGGAGTAATTTTATAGGATAAATTTTCTTTCTGATATAAATAAAAAATAATGTAGAATAGTTTTGATAAAAATGTGAAAGGATTTGAAAAAAACTCCCCAAAATCCTCAAATTGGGAGAGTGATATGAGCAGTTTGAAGGATTTTATATCTACTCCACTTTCCTCCTTGACTTCCCCTAACTCTCCCAAACAAAAACACAACTTTCTTATTTTCATCGCATTCCCTAAAATCTCACTGATAAATGTTTCTTTTTTGGTTTTACATTAATTCCATTTTTGTAAGTAGGTGGTGTCATTTGCAATACTTTACATCTTCGTTTTAGAAAATATTTGCAAAATAAATATTTTATCGTATTCCAGTTTAGAAAATATTTGCAAAATAACTGTGTTCTTTATTTTCACCTTTTTCCTTGTTTTTTTGCTTCCTAGCTGTTGCTGAGTGGCCCTTTTGATTAATATTGCATGTTGGTTTATAATATCAATCTGTAATGCACATGTATAAGTTTAAAACTAACAACTATCTCCATTCTTCTATATTTTATGATATTTTTCGTGCTAGTGAATATAATTTGTGGTGAGGCCAGTTTCGAGTGTTATCTCATTAGTACAGATTTCTTGTAAGAAAGCTGCACCAGGAAAAACATCTGGCATGAAACCTTCTTACTATGCTTTTTTACATTAAATAATAGTCTTAAACTGTTAAGTTCTTTTAGAAAAGTAGTTGTTGCTGTAAATTTCATTCCACCTATCCCAATGATTTGGGATTAAGGTGCTGATGGTGAAGAATAATGATGACAGTATTCCATAATGCTCATGGGAACAAGTTGATTGGCTAAGGATTTTATTTCAGGTTATGGTCTTGCGTTGGATATGACTGCAAGGGAGATCCAATCTGCTGCAAAGGTATGTTTTTTTTCATCTTCCAGTTTGAATAGACCCAATAGAGTGTCCAATGTTATGAATGGCATATTTGAAGTACTCCGTAGATTAGTAAATATTATGCTGCATTTTTGCCTTCCATTACGTTCTTTTATTGTTTCTCCTTGGAATTATTGTCTATCCAGCCGATAATTTTTCCCTTCTCATCTTGCCAATCCAGCTTTTGGAGATGTTTTGATGTTTTCTTCCATTCAGTGCTGGCTTTTAACAACTGCAATAGGTGCTTGGCACAAATGTGGGTCTCCCAAAATTGTAATATGTAGTATTGGTAATAGAGTTACCCTTTTCAGGTTTAATTCCAGGTTTATTTTTTCCACATTAGCCGTACGCTGTAAAACACCTAGGCTATCTATTACATATATTTTACAGGCCTAGTGTCCTACTAGTACATGGAATCTACTCGCTTTGTATTTAATTGAAATGTCTAATATATTTATATTTTTGTCTAAAAGGAAAGTGTGCCTTTTAGGGATGGAAGGAGTACTATTTTTATGTATACTATGGGCCTCAGTTTGTCGTTTAAAACAGGCCTCTAGAATTGATTGAACGACCTGCTTCAATTTAATAGATATGACTTATCCTCATGTTCTTCATGCCAGTCTGCAGGTTTGCCATGGACAGTAGCTAAAGGCCAAGACACCTTCACTCCAATCAGTTCATTTGTAAGGATGTTTTTACTTTTTATACCTCTTTTGAATCCCTAGATTCGTTAGGATGCCTTTTTAGTAAAAACTGTTTTGACTAGATGGTTCTCATGATATAGCTCAATATGGGGAACTATTTGTGCACCACTTTCCTTGTTTTTTTTCCATCCTAATTAAAAAAACAATACTATGGTTTAAGTCTGGTACTCTGGTCTGATTTGGTTTTGTACTTTTGTCTAGTATGAGATTGAAATTAGTCCAACTGAAAACATCTTTAATCGTCTCAATCAATGGCACCATTTGAAAATGAAGAAAAAAATCATTTGACTTAGAGTCTAAAATCGATATACATCCCTCCAAAATTTATGTGTAGTTAAGTAATTCACATAATCGATGTATTAAACTCAGGTTGGTCTGACCAATTCTTAAGAAAATAAGACATATAGCTAGGTGTAGTCATTGCAACATCTGATAATTGCACTACCAATATTTATTGCACTTATTTTATGGGGAGTTCAAGTTGTCAATCAGACTGTAATTGTCAGAATTTATACCTTAAATATAATTAAGGTATAAATCTTTTTAATACCCATAGTTGATAATTGGGGGTTTTCCATCATTTCCAATGGAGTGATAGAGAGCTCAACAACACAGTAGAAGATTAGTATATTCTCGATTAAGATTTCAGAACTCATATGGTTTACAATGGTGTAGACAGAAAGAAAGAAAAGAACGGATACTATTGAGACACTTCGAGTAGTCTCCCATTCCCAATTTCCAATCTAATCCCAATTTTTTGCCTCCCCCTTTTCTCCTTACCTGCGCTTATTATAAAGGGCCTCATCCACTAAATTATTGGGCCTAAAACCCTCTTATTGTACAATATGACCCACTTCATAAGAGAAGCATCGGGTCCCTATCATCACTCCCCTCTTTAACTACTTCGTAAGAAACTGATATGACATTTGGTTTCAATGGGTTATCTACTACATCCAGTTCAGACGGTTGATCACTTGTTCCCTTCTCTTCTTCTGGCTCTTTCATCAAGACAAATTGATAATGTTTCATTCCACAAACATGTTCTTTGCTCCATTTGTTTCCACATTTGAAGCATAGGCCCTTTTTACTTCTTTCTTCTAACTCTTGCTTGTGTCAACCTTTGGCCTCCCTCCCATGTCTTATTCCGTTTCGGCGATTCCTCTAGCTTGTTCTCTGAATGTGTTCTCTAAGGAATCTGCTTGTTCTATGTGTTCTCTCAGTAGTTCGTGACTGAATAGGACGTGTTCTTCCCTTTGCGGCTTCCACCCAGTTCAAATGCCTGACCATAGTCCCCCCTGTTCTTTCCAGCACTTTTTGCCTTTTTCCTTATGTATCCCTGATCTCATAGCAGTGTTTTTCTCTTCTATCAGCAGAGCTCGATCCATTAATTCAGATAAAGAAGCGGATGGGTAAAGTTTCAGCTCAACTCTCACCTTCTCTTTTAATCCGTTAATGAAAATCCCTTTCAACATCTCCACATCTGTGTTCCTCATGGGTGTGACCACCAACTCAAACTATTCCGGATACTCCATGATGCTTCCAGTCTGTTTGATACTCAATATGGGACCGAAAGGGTTCTATACGAGTTCTGGTTGGAAATGACGGATCAAAGCAGCTTTGAAGCATTCCCAACTGTGTTCCTTGGTTTTCCCATCCCACCACCGGAACCAGTTGAGAGCTCTTTCTTCCATTGCTATCATCACCACAACTACTCTGTCTTCCGTCTTCGTCCTCAAGCTGGTTGAGCTTGAAGAAGCGTTCAACACGGATGGTCCAGCCATAGGCATCCGTTCCATTGAACAAATGGCAAATCAAGTTTCCGCCACGCTCGCACTGCTCCCTGATCCCTCTGCGTCTCTCTCCGATCAAGAGTAAAGTGATGGCTACCGGACTCACTTCTGGATACGGATGATTTTCGGCTGTCGGTCATTCTTCTCCTTCTGGGAGTTTTAGATCTCCCTCGCGATCGTTGTTTTTCCCTCTGCAGAACGATCCTTCTCAGCTCCTCGATCATTCGCTCCACTTTATCCATACGATTCTCCATTTGTGATCTGGTCGTTGGCATCCACTATTCCCGTCAGAATCTCTTCCCTCAATTACAACGGAAAAGGGAAGAACGAAAAGAAAGAGGAAAAAATTGATTCAGACACTTCAATTAGTCTCACTCTCACACTCCCAATTCCCAGCCCGATCCTAATTTTCCGCCTCCCCCTTTTCCCCTTACCTGCACTTATTATAATACTCTTCGAATGGGCCGACCCTCATCCACTAAATTACTGGGCCTAAAACCCTCTATTGTACAATATGAAGCTACTTAATAAGAGAAGTGTCTGGTCCCTATCATGGAGCCAATGACTCCCTATTTTTTGGTTTGGGAATATGATGAAATAAAGCAAAATGATTCACTAAATTGTCTACGCGTCTTTGTTATGACGCAACAGTAAGTCCATGCAATTTTCGACGCGATTTTCAAAAGGATGCGTACATCCGACCCTCCTTACCTCATCGTAGGTGAGAGCCTTTGCGGCACTGGGGTAATGTTGTTGTTGTTGTAACCGATAATTGGGGTATCAATTTTTTAATACCCATAGTTGATAAGATATACTCTTTTGCATTTTGCCCGTTTAAGTGTTGTTGTTGTTGTCCCACACCAGATATCTCGATCTAAAACAATTAAATACTATATCAAGATCTTGGGATACTCCGCATATTAGGTTGACCTTTTAGGATGGAATTCCAGTGCTGAACATGGTATCAGAGACAAATTGATTCATAATCATGGTGTGGCACCCCTATGAAAAATAACAACGCAATTATTAAACAATGACAATGACGAACTGATGACAAAATGAATGACGGAACAATCTAGACGAATTGTCTGGTCGTGAGGATAGGTGTTGTTGTCCCACACCGGATATCTCGATCTAAAACAATTAAATATTTTTTTTAAGATTCTTGGGGTACTCCTATCATATTGACCTTTTAGGATGGAACCCCAGCTGAACATTTGCTCTTCTAATGATTTATTTTTTTGCTTAGGTAATCACTCACTATTTAATAAAGATACTTAAACTGTTTCTTTGCAGCTTCCACCGTCAATGGTGCCAGATCCCCATGATTTGGAGTTATGGTTGAAGGTAACATTAATACTCCCTCACTCCTAAAGATGATACCCCAGTTTGCTTTTTCATCAATCTCAATTTTATTGTCTCATTCCTGATGTTGATGTAACTTTATTACATAAATGTATTATTTTACAATTATTATAACACCTAACACCACCCATTATATTTTTGGAATATCAGCCAAATAGACTATTCTACTATTTCAATCCATCGGATAAACCCTTGTACTAAAAAGTTATCATATAAGCAAGCATAGTTTGAAAAAAACAATAAATCTAAGCATTTTACTGCCCCTTTTTAGAATGAAGAAAATTGTTAAAAATTTGAAAATAGCTTAATTTCAAAATATACAAATAATGTGAAATTTACAAATCATATGACAATATGTAAAAAAAAAATATTCAAAGTAAAAAGAAGTTATGAATATTTGTAGTTATTTTGTAAAAAAAGAAACATTTTCAATGTCATATGATCCTTTTTTAGTATAAGGATTAAGATAATAAATTTAAAATAGTACAAGATTCTATTTTGTTCTCTTCCATTAATTTTTGACCTGGTATAAAAGTAATTAAGTAAATCCCTATAAAAAGTGCATTGCCTAAAAGCTATGTTCCAAAAGTGAATGTGACATTAAAATTAGGAGTGAGTACTGAGTATACTTTTCCTTTCATGGATTGATTTTTGCATTGCGTGATCATTACACAGGCTGATCTGTGATCTCTACGCTGTCCTATACAGGTTGATGGGGAGATTCGTCAAGAAGGCTCTACCCGTGATATGATATTCAAGATTCCATACTTGATTAGCCACATAAGCTCTATCATGACACTGCTTGAGGGTGACATCATTTTAACAGGTATGGATTTTTTAACTTTACTTGCTTCATTATTGTGTATGGCCAATCTGCCCTAAATACAAACCTTTTCTTCTTTCGAAGTTCAAACATTGGAAATTCTTATACGGAGTAGTTGTGTGTGCAGTCAATCTTGAAAAGGTGTGAGCAAATATAAGGATGTTTTTAATTAGATGGAAATTTTGTAATCTTGTTTGGTCTATTTAAGTCTAGTCTGGTAGATGTTTGCTTTATGTGTAACGCTTAACTGTTTATAGGATAAGGGTCAAAGCTTAATACTTTAACATATATTTTCATAGATCACAAGTCATAACTACCATACACATCTACACTGCTGTTTTTCTCCCTCTGTATTGCTTTACATTTCTATGAATCAAAACACAAGTTCATACATTTCTTATCATTTTCACTCAGAAACTTTCTTAAGCTCCGTTAGGATCTTGAGAAAACTAATAAAGGAAAAAGGAAGCAAGACAGAGCAAAAAAATGAAGGGCAGGAAATATGGGTGAAAATAAAATATAAGATAAAAATCTAGAAGTTTATTTTAGATCGTGGGAAAAAGTGTCATACTTAGAGTAATTTTGATCGAAAATGCTTTCACTTTGCACTATTCATATACCTTACTATAACTAGAATTGTTTTACATGTATATAAATGTAAATCATACTACCCCCGTCCCTTAAAGCTTTGCCATCATTGACTTTTCAAGTCAATGGTAGTAATTTTATGAAAGATATAAATTTTATATTTTAATGAAAGTATTTATAACAAAAAATATTTTCATATCATTTTTACATTATAAATAACTTTCTATAAAAATATATCATTGGTCAAAGTTTTATTTGATTGACTAAAAAATCAAAGATGGCAAAGTGTGTGGGACAGAGGGAGTATTATATAAATATTATTAAATTTGTCACGATGTATATTAATAAAAGATCAAATTTGTATAATTTTTGCTGTTACATAATTAATTATAGTAGTGATTGTATTTTGCATCCTCAGCCGTAAAAGTAAGTGTTGTAACTAAAAGAGAACAAAGATTAGTATGAACAATTTTATTTAAATCACTAATTATGTTTCATTTTCTGTTGCATTTTCTAAGATTAAACCAAACATAACAAATTCACTTTCTTTCCTTTTTTCCCAGGATCCAAAGTTACTTTAGTACTAATGTGCCAAGATTTGATGCATTTTTCAAAACACACGGGGCTAGTGTATAAAATTTGTATATCACAAGGGAGGGGTTGGACACTCACTTGAATTAATGTTTTGTGTGTGTGTTTCAACAGGCACTCCTGAGGATGTTGGTCCAGTTATGGTAGGACAAAAGATAGAAGCCGGGATAAGAGGTCTCCTGGATGTTCACTTTGATGTGGGAAAACGTCAGCGGGCAATATCGTAGCATTATTGGTGATTTGGTGTGTTCACAAGTATGTATCTGACCAACAATCTATAATGAAATTTCAAACCTCCGTCATTATATTCTTACCAAAAGTTTGAACAACATAAAAAAATGCTCACATCTTGAGACATTTCAAAACCACACTTATTGAAGAAATCGTAGAGCTTCTGAATGAAGTTGTAAGATGTTATTGAACCACAGTTATGACTTATATGCCATGCCTCCAAGTACAATTATATCTTCCTACAGAGACACCTCCTTCTTAGACCTGCCATTGTGTATGTACACTTTTGCCCCTGGAACATGATAAACTAAGTCTTGTTATCCTACCACAAATTAGGTCGCTGCTATACTTGTTTGTGGAACATTAGGAACCTTTTGAGACATGCCTTCACTGCAACATGAGAAAACTCAGCTTCAATCTATCATGCTTCCTAGTTCCTACTAGATGCAGTTAAAAGTTAACAAACAAGGGCATGTTTTCAACCCTTATGTTGATTTCTCATATTCTACCCTTCTCATGGAGATCAATTAATAGTCAATAAAATCATAATGGCGTGATTCAAATTATTGTCAAGAAGTGAATTTATATGAAGCATTTTTTTCGCTTTAGAAAGAAATGACAGGCATTTTCAGATGAATTGAAATGAATGATTTTTGCGCAATTGAATTACTACATAAGAAGGCAAACAGGTCTTTTCTTACGTATCACACAATGATGAGTTTCAAGTGGTCGAGTATAGTAGAAAAGATAGAGAGAATGTATATTCAATTCGGTAGAATAATAGTACAAAATTCAGAATGTGAACCTTTCCAGTTCCCACATTAGTAAAAGCCAGCAAACTTGAATGAACCAGATACACCTTAACGTTTACAAGATGAGCCTGAAAGGAATCAATCTGAAATAAACTAATGGCTACAATGCTCTTTCATTGGTATTTAGGTACAACCACTACGCTAATAGCAAGTTAGGAGAGGGAATCAATACACATTGGCAAGTTAGCTGAGGAATTGTTTTACCTAAAAGTTCTAAAAATCAATACACCTGAAATATATAACAGAACAAACTCCAGGATGTGAAATAGACAACGTGAAGAGGTACTTGATAGTTGATATCACACTGCAAACCTGGAAATGTTCACTCACATGACATTCCCGTATGCAAGACCACTGGCTGCTCCAACAATTGGGACTTTCTTCTCTTCTTACCAACAGGAGTACATCTACTTCTTCCGCCGACTCTGCATAGCGAATCTACGGTTTGAGTTGTTGGAACTGGGACGAGGAGATGAGCTACCATGACGGTTCTCTTTTCCACCCCTCTTGTTCTTCTCACCTCTGGGTGCCCTTTCAATCAGGGACGGATCCAGAATTTCGAGTCAAGGGGGGCGAAATTTTTTCGTTTGTGTAGGAGGTGAATATTTTTCCTCTAGTCTAGCAGGGCGAAAAAAAATTCTCTAGTGTAGTGGGGCGATTTTTTTCGCTAGGGTAGGACTCCGCGGCTAGATTTTGTTAAAAAAATCCATGAGTTAATACACGATGACATTTAAATCTATTATATCACATTCTAATTTTAGACAATGGAAAAATAATTTTGATTTAATAATTGTTAGTGTTCTAGAAAATTATTTTAAAATAAGAAAGGATATAACATTTTATCAAATTATTTGAAGGTAAAGAGTTTACAAGGTACACATGGACCGATGCTTTTTAAATAATTTATGCTTTGTTTAACCACATGAATCTTATCACAATAAAGAATTAGTTTTTGAAGTATAATTTTTGTCTATGAAAGAGGGTATTAATGGATCACGAGGAGTTTTCTTAATATTAAAATAGTGTAATAGTGTGTATGAAATTATTAGTTTCAGAATAATATGATATGTAGTATTGTTAATTCATATATACATGGTACATATTATATCTATATTAATGCTAAAATAAGTTAAAAATTATTATCTATGCAACAAATTGTTTTTACAAATTAAAGTAAGAAGTAAATTGATTGTGTAATTTAGTGTCAACAAATATTTATATTTTGGATTTACTTTTTTTTTTTTATCATATATTTTGGATTTACTTTGAATCATCTAAAAACTGTTTAACTATTGTGTCTGATATTTAATATCATTGATATTTTACATATCGAGTACTAATTATCTAATAAAGATAATTAAACATTACAAAACTAAGAATTTAGATATAATAGGTATCCCAAGTCTTAAACAATGACTTGTTCTATTGTTTATTTGTTTAAATTATTTAAATTATTTTAGATTTTACTTATTTTAAATCTCCAACTAAGTGTAGTATATTACATTATGTGAGCTTATATATTAATTTTAAAAACTAAAAGATTAGGGGGCGAACACATATATATTTAACTAAAGTTTGAAAATATTACATATATAGTAGAAAAATTTGAAAGTCTAAGGGGGCGGTCGCCCCCCGCCCCCCCTAAATCCATCCCTCCTTTCAATATGGGAGATTTGCTTTGTTTTGTGGTGATAAGTGGAGTTTGACTTTATCCCTCATTCCCCCGAAGATGTTGGACGTAGAATGGGTTTGCACCAGTGTACACATTTAACTCTCCTGCTCCGCCTCTTCTCAACTCTACATCCCCATTATTGACCTTTGCATTAATTACAAAAATATGAAAATCACCATTCATTAAAAGTCCAACTTTGTGTAACAAATAATCTCCTCATTATCAAATCCCCAGTCAACTTAGTTTAGGCTTTATATTAACCAGCTTTTGCTGAGCACCAACTATTATCACTGTGCTGGATGAATCTGTGACCGACAATGGAAAAAGTAGTGCATAAGTTACATTTAGCCTCCTTTAAGAAAAAGTTACATTTAGCCTTTTTTTAGATATTATATTACGTATTTTATATTTCACTTAAAATGTATTTTGAAATAGTTTTTAAAAAGAAAACTAAGCAGCTCTCCATTTAAACCACAACTTCAAAAGAGCAATTTTTAGCATATTAAATCAGATCCGGGAAAATTTCTTAAAAGCGTAAAAAAGCATGCTTAATTGTTTACGCCCAGGCGAGCATCGAATATACGCTGGACTTTTGCTAAGCGCAGAAGCACTCACATTCTGGTACTTCTCACAAAAGGGGTCAATTAGTAATTGCTTTACGTATTTTTTAAAGTTTGAATTTACCTAGGTTCACTATAATTAAACTTCTCCATAGTTGCACCTCAGATGTATTGACGAATCTGTGCTAGGCCTTCTTGGCATTGTTGAGTCATCGGTGAATCTATGCAGAAGCCGTTTCCTCACCAAAATATGTGATATTTCATGACAAATATGGGCCCAAATGCAAGACTATTCTAGTGCTCTTGTGTGATTTTGCTATTCATATTAGTGCAGTTTCTAAATATAAAATTTTGATTGTTTATCTAATTTTAAATATTGTTAGAGAAGAATTACATTCACCCTCATTAATGCATCATAAACTGAAATGGAGACTTCGTTTTAAGACGGGCGGTGTAAAAAATAATCATAAAGTAGTTCATTATAGTGTAACGTTAGTGAGAATGCTTCATTTCAATCTAATGCTCCAGATAAGATTGTCCTATTTAGGTAATACTTATGATCAAAATGGTATTGGTTTTAAATAATAGTGCATTTTTCTTCCTCAAGGCAAAAGTGTTTCTTTATGCCACTTTCTACAACATTTGAATCTAAAGACTCATATAAAAATTAATATTATTCAAATGGAAATGAAGCGGGGCAGATCTCTATTACATAAGTACTAGTAGTGTTCTGGACTCGGTGCGGGGACGCTTGCCCACCCATGACCCCCACTAGCTCCTCCACCTTGCATGAAGCCGGGAGCATAAGGCAGTGCAGTAAGAGGGATCCAAGAATCTCCTAGAATGAAATTTCCAGGAAGAAATCCTTCAGCAACCTCTTCACTAATGGCTCCCTTGATTCCAGCCCACTTGGCTCTCCCGCTCACGTCCGCTCCCTCTCCGCTGTTCCCGAACTCTCCGTACCAACAGTCTTCCAGCCCAAACGTCCCTTGGAACGGGGCCCACCCCTCTGGAGATATGCGCACATCGATTTTCGTATTCATGATCACTACCCTTGCGTATTGCCTCCACGGCCGTCCAAGGAATGACACGATCGGGGCCGTGGAGCTCAAGTACTCCGGCGATGCGGTGATGGAGGAGTCGACAATCACGATTCCGGTGGGCTCGTCTGCCTGTGACCTTCCTTGAGCCGTGACCATGCAGGATTGACTTGAACCGTCGGTGACGAGGGGACGCCTGATGATGAGGCTGCAGTTCTGGAAGACAGCAGCAGCGTTGCCGAAGATGAAATCTATGGTCCCGGTGATGGTGCAGTCCCGGTAGAACTGTCGGTGGGCGTGGACGTAGAGGGTGTCTTGGTTGCCGTCAATTTGGCAGTTGAAGAACATCGCGCGATCGGCCTGGACCCGGAGAGCCACGGCCTGATGGCTGCTGGGGCCGGCAGTGTTCTCAACGCCTATGTCCTTTCCAATGAAACCATCACCCTTGATTGCTGCACATCACATGCATGGGTTGAATTGTACGTACAACTTTATTACTTATGACATCCATCCCAAATTGATTTGCAAAATTGATTTTTTAGTTAAACGGTTTCATTTTATTCACTTAATTAGGATGTCAATTCTTAATTATATTCTAATTTGGAGTATGCAAATTTGAAGAGATTTTAATGTAGTTTATGAATATGTAAATTTTAATTATTAAAAATTGAATTAATTATCAATAGAGGGGATTGAACTTTAACATGTCAAAATTAAAAATATTGACTTTGAAAATCCATTTGGGATGCTGTACAATTAATAATATGATGAAGTTCTATATACAGAGTATATACTTACTGAGGGTTGCAGTTTCACTAGTTTGGTAACCACTAACATAACTTCTGTCTCCAGAGATCTTAGTGATTGTGGGACCATCTCCTACGAAAACCACATTTGTCATCTTCTTTTCAAGAACTACATGTTCGGCATAGACACCAGATTTTATGTATATGACGAAAGGCTTTGTGCTCTCGAGAGGGATATCATTTAGCGCCTCATTGATCGTCGTGTATTTCCCCGACCCGTCTTTAGCCACAATAACATCGGCTGCCTTAGAATAATCAGAACCAGATTCCAGAAGCATACTGCGCCTTAGGGTGATTTCATCGTCGCTATTCCACCAACCTGTAGGCAAGAACGTTGGCCACTTTTTACTATTCACCACCAACAGTTTTCGGTTAAGACCTTGAATATCCAGTGCCGTCAACGCCTGATGAATCTCATCAACCATTTCTAAGGTATTGCCTGTGAGCTGCTGAGCGGTAACCAATAGCTGTTTCATCTTATCACCACTGTCACCTAATCATTAAAGATTTAATAAATCATTTTATATGAAGTAATGTTGAAGGCTCACGCTGGAAAATTGTGAAATAATAAAATGCTATATTAAAATATTGACTATTCCTCTTATTAAATTGTCATTTAGAATGCAATGACAAACCGATGAATAATAAATCATGACACGACTCATATAAAATGTTTGGTCGTGAGAAGGGGTGGTGAAGACCCACACCGAAAAAATTGTGAATTAATAAAGTGCTATTTTAAGATATGAGCTACTTCATCTGTTAGGTTGACCTTTTAGAGTGGAACTCCAGATTTTAAGTTAAACAATCCTATATATATATATATATATATATATATATATATATGCGTATATGTAGTGTGGTGTGTTTATCTTTATATATAACCTTGGGTGCCCAGGAATCCGTCAAGGCAAGTGTTCTCGAATGTTAATGCGCCACTGAGCCAAATCTTAATGTCATTCATGAAGAGGTCGAGATTGGTAGCTGCCGAGGCATAGTCTGTGAGTCTATTCAAGGCACGCTTGATGTCATCAATGGAGTCTTCTAGAAGATCGTGACAGACGTCGAAGGCTTTGGAGGTCCGGGGATCTTTTGCGGCATTGCGGAGAAGCTTAGACTTGGCCATGACGTCGGATATCTCTTGGACCGTGACGTTGAACGCGACTTCCACGAGATCCTTGGTGTCGGTGCTGTTAGTGGCGGCGGAGAGCTTGGCCATGCACACCTCCTTGTGTAACGTCGGCTTGCACACTGCTTCCACAGCTTTGGCGGACGATGACATAGTGGTCCCACTGCTGTGATCACCTGCCGGGGTTTCCTCTTTTTGTGTCACATAAACGGCCGTGGAAACGACAACCACCGCCACAAAAAGGGCCAGGATTGATAATCCTAGAGTCTTTTTATTATATTTCATATCCATTTTTATGCATGTACTGAAATATTTATGTATATGGAGATCGAACCCGGCCTTTAGGCCAACGTTATATGGATGTAGGAATTTATTAAGGGTTGATAACCCTTAATAACGTTTGATGTGCAGCCAGCTAGCTAGGTAGAATTAATTAAGGGTTGATAACCCTTAATAAGGTTTGATATGCAGCTAGCTAGCTAGGTGGTAAATGATTTTAGAGCATGCACAGGTTCTTATAGTGTAATCACCAACGAATTCTAATCTCTTGTGTAATGTGAGGTTGAAGTTTGAGAGATTGTTGAAGATTAATGTTACCCACCAGTTTCCCATACACAGACCCGACATTTAAGCTCAACATATGGATTTTTTTATTGGTTTTCTCATTGTATATACTTGCTTTGTATAATTGTGTGTGCTTAAAAACAAAAAACAAATTTGAGCTATCATATACCTATAATTTTCCAATTGATCCTTGTGTACAAGATATGATACCTCGAAAGTAGGGGGTGCCCAAATGAGCCAAACCGCTCGTGAGCTATTCGTGCAGCTCAATCAAAACTCGACATGATCGAGTTCGGTCAATCTTGAAGTAGTGCCAACTCGTTAAACAATCATTCTGAGCTCTAGCCCAATTCCTTTTAGCGTGTGTGCTCGCAAGTCATAACACATAATGTACACGCAAATATTATACGTAGTATATTTATGACAATGTGTAAGGTAGGCCTAAGAATTGTAACTCTTAGGCCTCTTTCATTTGGGGTGCTTCAGAGTCGAATTTTTTGATGAAATTTTGTGAGCATGTTCTCCATGAATTGTATATTATGTCCACCAAGTTTCACAATAAAATTCTGTTGGAGGTATTGGTCCTACCAAGGCCTCCCTTCCACTTTATTATTTAGGCTTGCACCCCATGTTTACTCCCACTTTGATTCCCTGAGTTGAAATCACTCATTGGTGTCCTGATGACTTACCTGGAATCAGCCCCATTGCTTGCTGTCCATTGCACCCTTTGTTTGTCTTGGCTTATACCCGTGAGTGTCCTTCACACCCGTGAGTATCCTTGTTATTTCTACCCGTGACTTCTCAATAGGCTGGCAGCCTATTATAAAGTCAACACTCCTCCTCTTTGTGAAATAAGCCTGCGAGAGAACTTCATTGTGCAGTGTCTTCCTTCTTCCTTTCCCTTTGTGTGAGAGTTCCTTAGTGGAGTGAAGAAGAGTTAGTAAACATGGGAGATGGAGTGGCCTAGCCCTAGAGTGGTGTGTGAGAGTTTAGTATAGAAGGTTGGAGACCTAAGCCGGAGACGGAAACGATCCTAACAAATTCAATCGTGAAGTCAGTTAAATAAATTATTGAAAAAAACTGCATTTTATATATATAAAAATATGCGCAATTTTGAAAAAATTATTTTACCAACTTTCCGAATGAATTTTAATTTGAAATTTGGTGGGCATAGTATGTACTTCATGGAGAACATGCTCACAAAATTTCATCAAAAAATTCGACTCGGAACCACCTCAAATGAATGAGGCCTAAGAATTGTAATTCTCCACTTATGTATTTTAAATCTTAATTGAGAGTAAAATAAGGAGTAAAATTGCTAGTGAAGGACAGAAAATTACAAAAAAAGAGTGAGATAAAGTACAAAAATTATATACGGAGTATTAATTAATTATTTGCATGTATAAATATAATATCATTCATTTCAAAAATAGAAAAATAATTTATAGCTCGAATTCAAACTCGAGATCGAGCATCTTATTCGAGCTCGAACCTATAAAGTTTATAGAGCAAAACTCGAGCCGAGTCGAGCTTGAATTGGACTCGAGCTGAGATCGGGCCATACTGATAAGGCTCGGTCAAGTTTGAGCTCGAGTCAATGCATTCTTATCAAGTCTGAGCTTGAGCATGCCCAAGTTCGAGCTGAGCTCGTTTGCGCCTCGAATGATTCAACGAACATAATGATTGCCATAAGAATAAAACTACACATTTTATTATTAAAAAACATGAATGATTTCATTTCCCGTCAAAAAACGAGGTGGAGAAATTGTAAATATTTATAACTTCAATGGTTTTTGAAAAGCAACACAAATAAAGAATCAACTATATAAAATTTCAAAACTCGACTAATATGACATCTATACTCTCTAAGCTATTTGTTTCTCATCATTAAAATTTAATCGTAGCACCAGTGACATTTATTATGGAATAAATCCCACTTTTGATCCTACGAGTTTGCTGTCAATTCCACATTTAGTCCACGTTTTTCACTTTGTCCACTTTTGGTACTTGACTAATGTTTTTTTACCATTTGTGGTCCTTTTCGGGTGATTTTAATCTCCGAAAACGGACCATATATGGACGAAAACACAATACTCATGTATCAAAAGTGGACAAAGTGAAAGACGTGGACTAAATGTGAAATTGACACCAAACTCGTAGGACCAAAAGTGGAATTTATTCTTTATTATGGGCCCACCGGTGACACCACGACATCGTGACCAGCAACCCATCATCATTAGTGACTATGGCGGCGCAATTACCCTTTGCGCCTCCGATAATTAGCCACCACTAGTGGTCCACCGCCACTAGTTACCTCTGACGCCCCCATTGACAATTACAATAACTCATTCACTCACAATCTGATGGTCCCTAGTAAAGGTTAAGAGTATGGAGGTCTTATGAAGGTTAACAGTAAGGGTGACTAGACTTTTAAAGTTTTTCGCCTTATAGAATACACAATGGAATCATAGAGAGCCGGCCCTAGGGAAAACCCTAGGCGGCCATCCCAACCCCCTTCAAGATCCGATTTTGGAAGATGAAGACATTCTCTATGCAATGAAAGATCGAATCAAAGGTTTTTCTATGCTTTCGCTCTTTTTCAATTTCTATTTTCAAGGAATTTGGTCCGGCTTCTTCATTGGCCGAGAATTTTGTCCGCTTCTTGTGAGCGTGTGGTATGTTATTCTCCTAGCAATGTCTAGAGGCTGTGTGTTTCTAATCGGTGTAATCGATCTGGTGAAGCTTTTTCAACCTTGTTCTGATGTTTCAAATACTCGCCCACCACCTGAACCACCGCCTCACTCTGGGAAGAAGAAGATGATCAAGCGGATCTCCTTTTTCGGTGGCTGGTCAAACCGATGCTTCAAGAAATTTCTACTCGACTGATTTCCCTTTGTTGGTTGCTGGTCAAACCAATTCTCCCATTCTATTGGCGGGTGAAGCCGGATCTTTTAGTTGTAATTTTTTAATTTCTCTTTGGAGTAGCAAGAAGATCAACAAGACTATTAGATTAGACTACATTATTACGGGGTTAGCGATCTGGAAGGATTCATTGAATCTGTTCCGTTCTATGTCTCATCCCATTGTAGCCTCAGGCTATTCATTCTCTTGTATTTTTGCTATCGTTTTATAATAAATTAGTTATTTGATTTAAAAAAAAAGAATACACAATGGAGGTCTTGACCTCTTATAATAGTACATTTACACACTTTCTATTTGTAGAAAGAATGACTTTCTATTTATAACATGTTGACCAAAAGTTGTTTCAAGGATTTTCCTATGAAATGGGATGTGGTAAGAGTCCTATGATGTGGTAAGGGACTACGGGTTGCTAAAATTATTGATAATAATCTTGGAAGTTTTGTCAAACTTAATGAAAATCAATTTGAGAGACGTTGGAGGGCCTACTCGAGGATTTATGTTTGTCGAATGAGGATTGTCTATGGGTAAATATGAGATATGAAAAACTTCTCAACTTTTGTTTTGCTTGTGGTATCATTGGTCATGGCGACAGCTTCTTTCCTCAAATTCTAGCACAACCAAACTCGGAACAAATAAAAGAATTTGGGCTGTAATGAGAGTAGACATTAGATCTAGTAGTCGAAGTGGGGGAAATAAGTGACTTCTGGTAGAAAAATCAAATAAACTCGGAGGTTATAAAGATGGGGGGATAGAGGGATCCACACAGACCAGGGACGTGATAGATATGGGATCGGGTGTTGTTGTTTTTGCGAGTGAATCTAAGGATCCAGGAGATCATAATGAAGACGTACAAGTAAGCAAGACTGACAATGTATGGAGACGACAAGAGAAGCACATTAAATGATGAAGCTAGGTTGAAATCGGTGGTGGGAAAAAAACGGGCTGGAGCGAGCTCTGGACTAGCTCGCCCAGAAAACTGAAGACGGATGGCACAAGTTCTCAGCTCTATATTTTTCCAGCTTTATTTTCAAATTGTTAGCTTTGGTTTCTGTTATGTTAGGATGTATTTTTACTTGGACTGTAATCCATCCCAAACCATACAAGACCAAATCAGTTCAGATCAGACCAAACCATACCTGACTTGGATAGTTATAAAAATACAAAGAGACCAGACATTACCAGACGTCCAGACCAGACCAGACCAGTTCAGACAAGACCAGACCAGACCAGTTCAGACCAGACCAGACCACCAAATTACAGTCCAAGTAAAAACATCCTTAGTTTTGGTTTTATTAGTTGCTAGTCTCTTTCTTTTGATCACAGTAGGTTTCAAGTTGCCCGATGAGTGATTAACGAATTTTTATGCTTGTAGCATATACAATTCTATATCTAATCCTAGGTTAGGTGATCGAAATGAGAGTGTTTGTCCTTTTGATGGTCTTCGAGTTTATGATGATATAACTAGTTTAGCAACGTGCGATGCGCGTTCGTGTAAATGCCCCATGACATTATAGAGTGAATGCATGAGTAATTTGATTAAATTATTTGTATACATAATTTGTTAGAAATTGACCGATAAACAAACTATATGAAGAAAATGCTTGTAGCTTGGATTGAATGGGGAAATAAAGCAATCAAAATGATTATAATAATTAACCATATTTTTTTGCATATGCCGACTTTTATTGCAATAATCAGAAGGGGGGAAAGTTACAGACATAACTTTAAATCAAAAGGTAGTAACAACACTAGATCATGACGAATTGATACTTGATGTAAAATGGTACACGTACAGTAGAATCATACAAGTTTTATGGGATAATTATTATTTAAACATTCAAAGTTGAGGTTAGTATAATCTTCTCCTCCTGGGCGGGCGAGAATCTCCGCTATCAACATCAGCAATTCTTCTCCTGGATGAATCGCTTTCAACCGTGGTGTCAACTGTCTGACCTTCAGACCGAATCATGGCCACAATGCTCGACACAGAATCTCTATCATCAATAGTAGGATAGGTTTCGACCCCCTTTTGTTGTTCCAGACGCATTCCCCTAGAGGTGAGGATCGTTGCAAGAAGAGTGTTGCGTCTCTCATGCGATTCTTCAGGGTTTGGATGATTCCGTA